TAAATAAAACCGTTGAAGAGTGTCAGATTGTAAACTAAAAGTGAATTATACATAATGTGAGTCGTATAACCATGATTGATATGACTAGAGACCTTTCCAACGTTCTTCAGGCGTCGCGTTAAATGACATTTGTCACCCTAGGCATGCCTGCCTAACTGTAGCTAGCAATTCGGGTGTGGGATTGTCAGTCCCGAATAGATCTATTCACAAATCTCACGCTCTCCCTCCAGGAGACTCTGGTTATACTATGATAGGATTTATCCCTGTACACCTAAGGGTATAGTAGTGAAGTAGCGCCTCACAGTATCGTACAATCTAGTTTACATGTAGTGTAGTAGCGTTCTACCGTAGTGAAAATCCGAATGTATATCGTTTGTAGTGATAATTACAGTTATGAAAACGCGATAAAGTAGTGATGCAAACTGTAAATTATTTCTGTCTTAGTGCATACGTTTAGTAGTGAAAGTTTCTATACTTGTTATGTTTAGAAATTCCCAAACTATACCGATTATAGTTTGCATGTAAAACATAGTGAATAGCGAGTCCGGAAAAACCATGCAAGTTTAGTGAAAACGTCCCTTATGCTCAACATAGTACAAAAGGGGTTAAAGTATGAGAATTGCATTAGTTTTGAAAGCATTTATGTTTAGCTTGTATCCTCCCCCTGAAAACATTAAAAACACGGAGAAAATAGGGGTATGAACTCACCTCGGGTAAGTGGTTTGATTGAAGGATCGGTACGAAGAGCCGGGTGCTCAAGTGAAGCTTTGAACACGATTTGATCCTAATAACATGTAATGACACATAAACGAGTCAAATGAAGGTATTTCACCACTATATGTGATGGAAAACCACTCTAGGGACTTGAAACTATTTGCACCAAGTGATAGGACCTTGTAGGATGGAGTGTAGGGGGTGTATGGCCACCTAGAGTGTGTGTGCGGCCATGAGTGTGCGGCCCAAAGGGTGTGCGGCCCAAAGGGTGTGCGGCCGTACACTCATGAAATGAGGTGTCTTTGTAGTGTTCTCAAGGTCCACACTCACATCCACGAAGTGTTCAAGGTCTATACTCAATTGTGGTGTAAGATAAGGGTCCTAGAATGAGTGTATGGTCGCACACAAGAGTGTGTGGTCGCACACTTGGGTGTGCTGCCGCACACTTGGAGTGTGCTGCCGCACAAGGGCGTGTGCGGCCGTACACCCCTCACTAAGATGTCCAAAAATGCCAATCCAAGGTACAACAAGGCTAGGGGCATGTCTACATCGAATATGGAAGTTAAACTCTCACTTTGGAGGGTGTTTTAAGGGTGTGCGGCCACCCTAAGAGGGTGTGCGGCCGCACTCATTTCCAACACAAAGAACATGTCCATTTTTGCACACATAGAGCTTGGATAGAGTGGTCTTTCATGGATTGTAAGCTAGAGGAAGAAGTACTCACGTTCTTGAAGCTTTGGAAGGTTCAAAGTTGGAGAAACTTGAGGGAAATGATGTTGTGTGCTGCCAAGGTGCTAAAGGAATGAAAGGAAGGGGGGCTACCCTTTATACAGGGGTAAAGGTGCTGCCTAAAAGAGTGTGTGCTGCCAGGGTTTGGGTGTGCGGCCGCACACCCATGTGTACGGCCGTACACTCCTCCAAGAGGTGTGTATGGCCCGATTTTCTCACTATTCAACACTCTGACTCATTCCTAAACTCAACCTTGGCTATATACAAGCTTAGAACACTTAAATGAACCCTTAAATAGCACCAGAAATCAGCAAACACAAGTTAAATATTGATTGAATTGACTAAGTGTACAAGATTGAAGTTTCCGGGTTGTCACACGGACTTTCAGGTATATTATTGTGTGGTTAATCTTGAGATTCATGGAGTAACTCGGCGAGTTGTGAGTCCAACTCGTCGAGTAGAGTCGAGTGTCCACGTGGGATTAATGAATGGACTCGACGAGTCAGAAAGCCGACTCGTCGAGTAGGCGCTGGGCAGAGAAACCCTAATTTCTCGGGGTTGGGGCCTATATAAGGGAACTTATAGCCCCATTTGTGCCTCACCAGTCACCCTACTTCCTTGAGAGAAACCCTAATCGTCCATTTGAGCTAGAGAGTGAGAAAGAGGCTAATCTTGTGGATTTTAGTGCATTGTTGAAGGAGAAGTGGAGAACATCAAAGCTTGGTTCAAGAGGAGGCTTTGGATCTAGAGGTTTTTCAGAGTTTTGCTTCAGTTGGAGGTAAAAAGATGCTAACTTGGTCATCTCCTTTTGAAGATTTTGGTTTAGGGAAGTTTCTAGGGTTTCTCCCATTCTTTTTGGTGTCATTGTGATCTTTGAGCATGATTGATGTTGAAACCTCGGATCTGAGTTGTAGGAGGCCTTGTGAGCCCAAATACTCGAACTTTATTGAGTTAGAGACAAGACCTTGAGCATGTAACCTTTGTTAGAACTTGTATTGGCATTATGGAGCAAGTATGCCATGCATGAACGTAAAGATCGAAGCTTTACGTGACATTCGAGCCTTGGGAGGCTATATCTAGAGTTTAGGGTAGTAGATCTTCCTTAAAACGTCTGAATGAGAAAACAGACTGAAGGGACTCGTCGAGTCCATGAACTGACTCGACGAGTCGGTTAGGGTTTGTCCCGATGAGTTTGATCATGCGATAACTCGGCGAGTTGGGGGTCAACTCGACGAGCTGAGCTGGACTTTCTTGAGACTTCTGAGGAAAGGAGGGGACTCGACGAGTTGCATGAGTGCACTCGACGAGTCGGGTCAAACAAGGACTGTTGACTCGAGTTTGACTTCTAGTTGGTCAAACCTGAGTAATGGAGACCATTGAAGGGTAAAATGGTCTTTTACCCACTTCCGGAGTTAGAGAGAGAAAGAGTAACCTTTGGTTTACTTAGATTTGAGAATCAAGTGTTAATTAGAGAATATTTTCCCTATGTGTTAGGCGGTGGTTAGTTCGAGATTTGAGTACAGGGATAATTGCTTGCGTGCCTCGAGGTGAGTCTTCTCACTATACTTTACCTTGAGTGGTATTTGTGTGTGACTGAGATGTCTTATGTGCTTATCTGTGTATTGTGATATCCTGCATTATTTCTTTGTGATTTATGTTGTGTATTACTCAGAGCTTACAGAGTTAGGATCGGAGGGTCCACAGAGTTAGGACCGGAGGGTCCATCAGAGTTGTGGGAGTAGAGGGTCCCACTAAGACACATTGACCAGAGGGTCTTACAGAGTTATAGCCTCGAGTGGCTAATATGTTGTATGTGGTATTTTGGGAAACTCACTAAGCTTCGTGCTTACCGTGTTATGTGTTATGTGTTTCAGGTTCTTATCAGGATCGTGGGAAGGCGCCGACTTGATTGTACACACCAGAGAAAGAGTCATGTTTTGAGGATCCTGGATTATTAATTAAATAATTATGGAGTTGTGTTTTGTCAATTAAATAAATGGAATTTTTGTGAAATGTGTTATAAGAATTATGTGATTTTTAAATGAAAATTTTGTTTGAAAATTTACGGTGTTACTGGATGGCTAGATATATTGTTAGGTTCCATCACATCCACATGATGCTCTATGTGAGCTATATTTATTTCTAAAAGCTTATGAGCTAGGATCATTTCCTAAGCTATGGGCTATGTTGTTGTGTACACTGAGATCAGTTGTCTTAGTTAAAATCCTGTGCACTATAACCGTTAATCTAGGAGGGATTTATAGTGTAAATCTAAGCTTACGGCATAGATTTATAATAAAGAACTTTGGTGTAAATCTATTATGTATGGTAAAGATTTATGCGGGTCGATATTCTCTGCCTGTGGTTGCTAGCAACAACTTTGTCTGACGAGACTAAACTGGCGTTAAGTGTTCTTTCCTTGTTACTACACTAAATCTCTTCCTAGGTTTTCCTAGGGCAACCACCACACTATTCCCCGTCTGCAGAAATAACTCCCTCTAACATCCTCTAACTAGCTCACGAATACAATTATATATCGTTGACACCAGATAATTCTTCGAATGAAAGGCCTCACACTACAACGGTTAGACTCAAACAAGAGTTGCGCAATAGAGTTAAAACCTAACCTTCTAAAATTATTTAGTCTCAACAATATGTAACTTAGTATACTCGCTTACTAGTTAGCTGAGGTTAATGGAAACTCCTAAAAGCACAAAGCAAGCAACATTCGAGCATCGAGTAATCGGAACAAGCATAACCTAAACATGTCATCCTATCACTGACTGATCAGTACTACCATTCAAGTCTACAAGCTCATATAGCAGGCATACCAATGCATCTCTCCTATATCCTTAACCCTAATCTAGCATGCGATTTACAGATTCACAATTCAAAGCATAACATAAACATGTATGATTAATTTGGGAAAAATTAAGCTCGGTCGATTGCATCAACAACCCCCGAACGCCTCATTAATGATTGTCTCACGTATGACGTCGTGAGAAAAAACTAAAGAAACCGGCCATAAGTACTAAATGTGTACAAAAACAACAAAAACTTATTTTGCAACAAAATAAATATTAAAGACTAAAGGTGCAAAAAAAATATGAGGGACTAAATGCACGAAAAAAATATTAATGATTAAATGTGTATAAAGTGATAAATATATTACCCTATTAAGACATTTCTTCCCGGTTTAACGGCACGCCATAAGGACCGAATGTTTAGGGTTAAACAAGTTGAATTGACAAATGTAAACAAAAAAATCTTAGTTACCAAATGTATACAAATTTAAAAGTATATTACATTTTTAAGTCATTATCCTAAAGAAAATTTTCATAATTTTTTCTCTTAATTTTGATATTTGTCTTGATTAATATGTAGAAAAATGGATAAAAAAAGATATTTGATTTAATATATTTTTTCCTTAAAGAAAGACACCCGAAATCGAAGAGGTATACTACTGTCCATCGTATATTCTCCGCGACATTATGAATCCCTTTTCTTGGATAAATAAGAATTAAAAGTTTTTAATATCGACTGTTCGTACTCGGTTGGCTCTTGTATATGGGTCCCAACTAATCTAAACGCCAAAACATCCACAAACGCAAACTAACTTCACTGAAACCACTCCTGATCTCAATCTTCTTTGAATCAAAACCCTAAACAACAACAGATGAAGTCAGATTCTTTAGATTACTAATAACAATGTCTAATCAATGCTCTAATATATTTAATTATCGATCTTTCAATCTCTTTCCCCCTTTCAATACGCCTCTAAAACCCTACGCTACCACTCTCCCTCCTGTGTTTCCATTTAATGGCAATCTCATACTAATCGATAAGAGATTAGGAAACAGAAAGTTATCACTTCCTCCGCCAATAGCCGCTCAAATTTCATCGGATGTAGTTCTCGTTGCAACCACAGGTACATTCTTATCTGCTTCACAGTTCCATTGATCCATTTAGTATTATGTTTCCAAATTGTCCGTTAACAATTCCAAGAATTAAGCAGTAAGATTTCGATTCTGATGCTGTAAGCCTATAAGTGATATTTGCCGTGAAGTAGTGATATATTAGATATACGATGAATATTTATCTTTTGAATAGTATACTTGGTCCTGAAAAGCTCTAATCACCATTGTTTGGTCTTTAGTTAAATCTCTAGTGCTCTGAACTTGCAAAAAGCTATTAGATGTCCTTTTTTGGTGCGTGGAATTTTTTGATTAAAACACAAATAGTGAATTACCTTCCAGTTATATTGTTAGCCTACATAGATGAAATAACTGTTGTAAAAATAAATCCAGTGTCTATTACGCAATCTTAAGTGCTATTTGATATTTTGTATTGGCAGAACATCATGATGGCAGTTTAATATTCCAGTTTGGGGATGCTTCCGAGGTAGTGAAAAATGATGAAGTGGAAGAAACAGAGAGTAAAGCTGAACTGGAAAGTAATGTTGTGAACGTATTAGATGGAGATCAGGATAGACAGGTGGTTGAAAAGACAACTGAAGGAGAATCTGTAAGTGATGTTGACAGACTTACTGAGGTTGCTGATGAGATTACAAATGTAGACATTGACAGTGACATTGCTGAAAGGGAAACTAATGTCACTAGTGATTTGAGAGATTCTCATGCAGTATTGATGGAGAGAGTGTCATGTATATCTGAGGAAGAAGTTATTTCATTGCAATTTGATGCTAAAATGAACGAATCTCTTAAAGATGTAGAGAGCACGCTTGATACAACAGAATGCACTGCTCAACCTGATGATAAAACTGAGGATCAATTAGTTTCTGTTAAGCCTGAAAGTATACAAGCTTCAGATATTGAAGTCATGGATGTTAAACAACCATATGCTGCGGATGAGTTGGACAAGGTGGAAACTGAAGATACTAGTGAGAGTGATACAGAAGATATAATCCCTCCTGCAACTATACATATAACAGATGTTGAACTGATGGGTGCTGCAAATGAAGATGTCAATGAAGAGTTGCAAGATATGAACATCAATGGGATTACTCTCATAGATGAGATCCCAGCATCTGATTCATTAGGAGCTGAACCTTTAGATGAGGTAAGCCAGCTCCAAGCTGTTGATATCAAGGTTGAGACAACCATGGAAATTTCAAGTACTGAAGTCATGGATGTTAAGGATCAATCTATGGAAAATGAGTTGCAAGAAGTGAGCACCAATAAGAGGGATGAGAATGATGTTGCATATGTGATCCCTGTATCCAGTGTAGGAGAGGCAGACCCAATTCTAGAAGAGGATGTCAGCCAACCCCAATCAACCCCTGCCCCCCTCAGGCCTGTCATGCAAGTTTCAGATATTGAACTTCATGATTCAATGGATCAGAATCCAGATAATGTACTTTTACAAACCCACAATGAAACTGAGTTGCAAGTTGAGCTCATGGATATTACACAAACAGATGAGTTGCAAAAAGTGGAGACTGAAGATACTACCACAAGCGATACGAAGGATTTATCGCCTCCCACAATCTTGAATATTTCAGATACTGAACTTATGGATGCTGGAAATGAGGATATGGAGGAAGGGTTGCAAGATAGGAACATGAATGAGGGTACTTTCATAGATGAGATGCCACCATCGGATCCATCAGGAGCTGAAACAATTCTAGATGAGGTAAGCCAGATTCAACTTGCTGATTTCAATCTTGAGGCAACCATGGAAGTTTCATCTGCTAAAGGCATGGATGTTAAGGATCAGCCTGTGGAAGATGAGTTGCAACAAGTGAGCTATGTGATGCCTGTTACCTTTATAGAAGAGGAGGTAAGCCAGCCCCAATCAACCCCTCTTGAGTTCAAGTCCACCATGCAAGTTTCAGATATTGAACTTCAGGATACTATGAGTCTGAACTCGGATGATGGAATTTTACATGTCATTGATGAAATTGAGAATCCATCAGAATCTGTCAAGGTTGAATCTATGCAAGTTTCACATATTGAAGCCATGGATGAGTTGCTTGAGGTAGAAACCAAAGATACTAGAGAGAGTGATGCAAAAGATTCAGTGTGTCCAGAAACCATGCACACTTCAGATATTGAACTTACGGAAGCTGCAAACGGGAATTTGGTAGAAGGGTTGCAAGAAGTGAACACAGGTAATAGCGATAAGAATGATGTTTCAAATGTGATGCATGCAGAACCAGTTCTAGAAGAGGAGGAAAAGCAGCCATGTTCAACCCCTGTTGAGCTTAAGCATAGCATCCAAGTTTCAGATATTGAAGTTCAGGATACTAAAAATCAGAGCCTAGATGATGTGATTTTACAAATCATTGAAGAGGATGCAGGTGACAATTACATCAAGGATTTTGAGCGATCATTGCATCAATTAGAGGCTCAACTAGTTCAAGATGAGAGAGTAAATCACAACATATTGGAACAATGTGCTGAAGTTGATGCACTTGAAAGCTCAATGCTGGTTAGACTCTTGTTCCTTTTCCTTATACATAAATGTGATGAAGTGTTTAATTGGATATTTGGATGTTAGGAAAGTACTATTTGTGCCATTTCATATTAAGTGATAGCACAATAGCTTACATATTGTAAGAAACAAATCTAAGTAGTCGGATACCTACCTATGGGTACATTTTTCTATAGTATAGTCAACTTTTTATAATAGAAGCTGATTTGAACAATAATTGATTAAAATAATTTTGAAAATTGTTGAAAAATATATGTACTAACAAACAATTTGACTTGCAAGTTATACTAAAAGTGCTTACTAGTGATTCTATAAAAAAATATATCATTATGAGTTTGCGAAAATTAATGGTAAAAGAAAAAAAAAACCTTGTGTTCAAATTTTGTTGCTTGAGTTCTTTGTTTATGATTTTATTATGATTACTAATTTACAACATGGTTGGGAACAATATTAGATTAAATGACCTTAAAAATACATTAAAAAATGTGCCAATAAACAATGAATACAATATATACAAAAAAGTTATGTTAAGTCTTGACCGTTTTCAAATTGTCAAAAGGTCAAAGTCTTCTCTTAAGTCCTATATTCTTGTATAAGCACCTTTTGATTTTTTATCCCACATAAGTTTGTCTACTCATACATATAACCTTAAATACTTGTTCAATTGCCTAAATTTTACCCGATCTAATAATATTTATTTAGATACATCCTGGCCTAACTTAACAATATTTTGAACATACCAATATTACATAACTACTTTACCATAAATACAAATACTTAATAATATTTAAGGCAGTAGATTCATTCTATTAAAATGTAGTTTTAATATATTTGTCTCATATTTGTAACTATACTAATTGGTCAAACAGTTTATAATATTATACTTATCTGTATGTAATTTAAATATATTTCTTCTACAGAAACTGTTAGTTCTAGATATAATATATGCTTAGTGCTTACAAATATCTGATATATTACCTGTAATTTTTGGACCCAAGTGGTTATATTTTATTTGTTTATGATTTGTAGGTTGAACAAGTTGCCAATGTCTCACAACTGGAAGCAGAAAGAGTTGAGGAGATTTATCTGACAGGCTATATCCTGTCTTCTGGTGCAGCTTTGTTGGAGCATCCATTTAAGGTATAATTTCTTTTATGCATGGTTTCAGACAATCATTACATATAGTATGTTTTTCATTAGTTTTGTGTCTTTGAATAATCAGTTACACATATTTATGTCATCCTACATTCAGTTCTACTGGATTGTAACAGAGAAATATAATTTTTGGCATAAGAGGTAACCATGTGGATTAGTAATAGAAATAATAATTCCAGGCATTGACAGGTGGAGATGATGCGTACTTTCTGTCTAGCAGTAAATGGCTAGGGGTAGCTAGTGGGGTTAGCCAATGGTCATTTGAAGGTATTTCATTGTAGCTGAATGCGACCCATCCATAATTTTGATTGTTTTTATTCTGAAAAAAAAAAAAAATAGTTCTTATTTTTAGTATCACCCTTTTGTTTAATTTCTATTTTCTGAAATACAGGCACTGATCCAGGAGTTTATGCCCAAGAGCTCATGAGAACCTGTGAAGAGATTGTCTCAGTCTCAGATACCACCAGTAATGTTCCAATGACCAGCCCTGTTGAACTTCTTTGTAGAGGTGTCAAAGAAACAAATATGTCAGGTTCCTCAAATATTATGATAGCAAACTTCAATGGTCAGGTTTGTATTTCTAATTAATTAATTATAACCCAACCATTAAAAAAAAGAAATATATATTTTCTGATAAATTTAATTTCCAACAGGCTCTTCATGTGGCTAACATCGGAGACACGGGATTTTTGATAATCAGACATGGTGCTGTTTACAAGAAATCTTCTCCATTGCTTCACGAGTTCCATTTCGCATTGCAAGTTGAAAATCTCGATGATCCCTTGCACCTTGTGGAGGTATGCATGTTTTTAAATATTTTTATTTTATTAATATAACAAATATATAGCAATGTACTTAATTTTTGATACTTTATATTATATATGATGTATATATCTCAGGAACACATAATCGAAGTAGATGAAGGTGACATACTTGTATCTGCAACAGATGGACTTTTTGACAATCTATACGAGCAAGAAATAGCTATGGTGGTCTCAAAGTCACTACAAGCTGGGATGAAACCAGAGGTGAATATAAAATATAAATACTAATCTCCTTTTTTCCTCTTCAATACTTGATTGCTATTAATTGATTGCAATTTTAGGAAGTTGCTAAAGTATTGGCTACACGGGCACAAGAGGTAGGGGTGTCTGCATTTGTAAGAAGTCCGTTCTCAGATGCTGCTCAGGCGGCCGGATACACCGGATATAGTGGCGGCAAGCCGGACAATGTGGCGGTGATTGTGTCTTTGGTTGAAAAAATATCCACTTCATAGATACAGCTAAGGTACATACTCTTCTGCTATCTCTTATCATTTATTTTGATCCACGTGTGTAAAAAGATGTCTATAGATCACATGAATGATATCAAAAATGCTTATTGTTTAGGTATTTGTAATTGCATGTGTATAAAATTTACCCCATTCCTATATTTGCTTAACAGACCATTGGATAAATGCAACCAGTGGGCAATTGGTGAAATGTGTTATTCTTTTTGAATTGTTTACTTCACGAGTTAGGTAGGGCTTAATATATTTTTTTAAACAAAAATTGAGTATTGTCGTTTAGAAAATATTATTTACTTTTTGGTATATTATTTGACAATGGGTCTAATAATACATTTGCGGTTAGAAAATTAATTGACATTTACCCCTATTTTAAAAGGTGCACTTCTTCATACTTCATGTGCTGCTCAGTGCTCACATTATAATTCCATGTGGACGTTACATAGTACAAGAAACGATTGGAAGATTTTAAGGATATGTTAAGGATTAATTTTGCAAAAAGCAAATGCACAGTATTTAACTTTTATAGAGATGTTGGTGCTCAAGCCTTGGACTATCTTCCTTCTTCATCCAAACCATTTCTATATTTTATTAAAAAGAACTAGGTTATAACCCGTGGAAACCACGGGTAAAAAAGAAAAAATAATATCGATAATTAAAAATAGTTAAGAAACATCATATATTTATAAAAATTTATTAAACTAATAAGATATGAATTTTGTTCAGACTTTTATATTGATTATTTAAAAGTAATATATATACATTTTTTTGAATATCCGATGTATGTTATGTATGTCTTAAATTAATATATATACATTTTTTTTGAATATCCAATATATGTATGTATGTGTAGACATTTAATAAATTTATGTTTTATAGAAAGAAAGTAAATTTTGAATAGAGTGTAAAAAAAAAAGACAATCAATCGCATGTAAATGACATTGATATACGAAAAATTAAATATAACAGAAATCTAATAAGAATAGATAAACACAACCTCTAAAAGTTGTATCAGGTTAAAAAAAAAAAAAAAAAAAAAGACAATCAATCATTCAAATGACATCAAATTAAAGTCAACAAAATCAAATCTGTGTGAAGATCCGGGAAAGTTATAACAATCTCTAACAGTTGTATCAAGGTAAAAGCTAAATTTTTCTTTCTGGATTAGCATACCTAAAATTTGAATTATTTTCACAAAACGGTTGGTTTAAATAGAACAATCTTCTTTAAGATAACATTGGAATTTTGAAAATCATTCTTGATATAAAATGCATGATTTTTGCTTCCCTATAAAAACAAAAATTTTAAAGTTATGTAAATATAATGTAATAAGGATATGAAGAAATTACGACATAAGTATATTATTGTTTTGAGTTAAAGTAAAATTATGTTGTTATTTCGGGTTTAAAATAAAATAAACATAAGATTTTGTTAATTTGATTTTGACTTTTGATTTTCAAAGAGTGCATTTACAATCCAACAAGATTTTTATTTTTATCATCAAGAAAAACAAAACCGATACATTGGTAATGTGGCAAACAAAGATTAATTTCTTTTAACAATTCGTCTAATTTTAGAAACATGTAATAATCCAAAAGAAAAAAAAAATCAATGACAAATCTTAATACCATCAAAAGAATGAACATCATGTCTCGTTACGTCCCAAACCTGCATTTCAATCGATTTAATATTTCATTGCAGATCAACCAACCACTTTCATTATTGACATGCATACCCGATACCTTCCCTTTCTACATTACAAATTCCGTAACCTCTCATTATTATTTCAAAAGAGATAAATATCAATTAACTTGTCATTAATATGTCAAATTTGTAGTTTTGACTGCTTATAAAAACCTAAAATTAAAATAATAAATGTAGAATGTACTTTAGTTATAAGCCTACTTAGCCATGAAGCAATTTACAATTCAATATAAGTTATAGAAACCATTTTCTCTAACATCCTCTCTAGATCTCTTACAGCAAGAATTAAATCTTCATTCAATTCTTGAGATTCTTAAGTTGTAAACAAAGATCGAAATTCAAATCTTTTACATAATTATGTTATTGTCTCTAATTTTAACCCATGGATCTCCTCCCAAATTATCGTGGAATTAAAGGTAAGTTAACGACTTTCCTAGTTTGACTTAAATTTATTTAATGCAAAAAAACTATAGATGTTCCTAATTGAATATCGTGCTTAAATTTTTATCATTTCTTATGTTTAGGTTGAACATTAAGATCCCATCCAAACTCACTATTTCATAAAAAGATCAAATTCTTAAATGAGGAGAAACCTGAAAGAAATGAACTTTACTTGGAAAAAAAACATTAAGAATGAGTTAGTACCCACTTATTTTTATCAGATATTCAGATTGATGCATATATATACGAAAGAACAAAACTTTGCTTGGAAGATTGAGTTAGAACCCACTGATTTTTATCAGATATTCAGATTATTCAGATCGATACATATCTATACGTAAAGGAGAAGAATATGGCATACAGTGCTAATCCAAGAAACCTTCTGTTTGTTGTATAATGTCTTCACCTTTATCCGTATTACACCTAAAAAAAAGAAGATACTAACATACATATTATACCTTTCTTCTTTCCACCCACACCTTCAACTTCCGCTACAATTTTACTTCTTTCCATCTGAAAATACCAACTACACATTTAGTAGTAGAATTTTGATATCTAAAGAGTTTCCAGTTTCAGCAAAATTAATATCAAATTGCAAGAATACACTAATAACACTAATAAAAACAACCCATAAAACCTTCAAAGGATTTATTAATGTATAAATCGTAAAACTGAAATTAAAGGTACAACATTTATATAAAAAAACTTAAATTTCTATATGTCAAATGAAATTGAGGAAACATCACATATGCAAATCAAAAACCATTTCACTTTCAAGTTTCAATCATAATTTTAGAACTCCATTCAAAAGGCTATCAAAACCCATCGTTAACAACAAATTCCACACACCTGAAGCACTTTTTAGAGAGAGAAAGAAGAAGAGAAGCAAATATCAAATAGATTGATTCAAATAATACAGATACAAAGCACTCATATATTTACATCTGATGGTTATTACACCGATGGAAGAGGCATTACTAAAATTGAAGACATTAATAACCCCTTACCGATAATAGGAGAAAAGCAAGTAGTAATGGATATGAAACACAAAATCATATACATAGCAAAATTAAAGAACAAACCTGATGAAATTTCAGTTTCGGTAGATAGAAAAGCTAATGAATAGAATTTTTTAAAAAAACGCATAAACTTCAAAAATAATATAAAAGAGAAATTATCGGAAGAACTCTTGATACTTGTTATATACGGGGTCAAAAAAACCACAAGAATCAACACACCCAAGAGCATAAAACACATATTTTGGAAAAAAAAATTGCATATTAAACCGGTGTTTCCATCGAACTTTTGTCTTGGATTGAGCTATTCATCTTCAAAAGTTGGAGGTTGCGGTGCAAATCCTTAGCAACAAGACCATTCATAGATTATGAGTGAATCAATCAACAATATCAAGGGCGACACAAATCTCTACATCTTAACCCTATATTATGGGCGATAGAGAAGAGAAAAAATGTTTTATAGGAAAACAAAAATGAAAAATTTAGATTATAAAATTTGAATCCCAAAATTTATGGTGGGTATAAATAAAGGATCGAGAATATAAAAGAAGATTTCCTTCTTGAACATAGACAAATTGCATTTTAAGTTGTCATTTCATAATTGGAAAGTGAATTCGAATTAAATTCCTGATTTCTTGTCTATGGTTATCATATCATTTAAACGTGATTGTAAGGGATTAAATTAAAAATATGATCAACTAATTAACTTCTTATTAAAGGGCAAAGTCGGTATTTTACCTTGTAAAATTTTGGGCTTAAAACATGACACGTGACATTAAAAGATTCTTTTATTAGATAAGAAGATTTTTGTGTTTTATTTAAAAAGTGTATTGGTCTCCCTTGTCTATAGCCTAACTAGGGGTGTCAAAAAAAACCCGAATCCGAATAACACACCCGAACCAAATAAGATTTGAGTTGTTCGGTTCAGTTAACTGAATAAGGAAAATATTATTCAGCTTGGGTTTGGTTAATTTTTTCTTAATTTGGGTTAACAAGATCAGTAGCAACTATGTTTAAGATATTAAACTATTAATATAAAATTTTATATTTATATTTTAAAACTTAAAACCATTAGTTAAACAAGCCTAAAAAAGTCCAACTATGTTTAATTAGTTTGTTTTTCTGAAAAATCTTGAACAAACACTTCTAGTTGTTTGTTAAACGTTTTATACAAAATAAGGTATTAATCCTTTTTAGGCTCGTTATATGTTTTTTAAAAACGTTAAAAAAAGAAAGTTAACTATTGGTTTTTGAATTTTATTCAAAAACAATTATAGTTTTCTAGATTTGTAAATTGTGATTCGTCATCTTCTTTATGTTATAACTATGGAAATAGCTTTATTTTCTTTGCCGAACGATATGGTATACTTAGAACTCTTATCATCAACTTCCCTCCCATTATAAAAGTATGAAGTTTGAAGTAGACTTAATACTTTATTAAAATTATATGAAAGTTTTGAAAGCCAATTAACCCGCCCGAAGAAGAAGATCCAAATTGCAAGCCTTTCCATGTCCACTTCTAGTTGAAGCCCCTTGATTTGAAAAAATTACGAATATATATTTTTGTTTATTTATAAAGAGACCAATATATATATATATATATATATATATATATATATATATATATATATATATATATATATATATATATATATATATATAGGACGGTTCACTTGAGATTAAAAAAATGTAGATATCTTGAGATTCAACCTGAGCCATACATTTCACATTTGACGCTCTAACGTTCCAGTGTACCGACAACAACAGTGTATGCGTAATCATAAATGATTATACATATATGTCTGTTCACATACTGTGTAATAATATATGATTATGACAGCTCGTGACAGAAAATGTGGTTGTGACAGAGGTGACGGTTGTATAAGTGACGGAGGTGACAGTGGTGGTGTCGGTTGGTATCAGAGGTGGTGGTAGTGGTGGTGCCGATGACGGTTGTGGTGGTGGGGATGTTGGAAGAGGAGAAAGGAACGGGCGACGCTATATAATCATTTATGATTATAACAGGTCTCCCGCGTCGTTACGCCGAAGTGTTAGAGCGGCAGACTTGAAATATGTGGTTGATGTTGAATCTCAAGATCTCTATTTTATTTTTAATCTCAACGGAACCTATATATATATATATATATATATATATATATATATATATAGAGAGAGAGAGAGAGAGAGAGAGAGAGAGAACGTAAAAAGGTTGAGAACGCGAGAACGGTTGTGGCCCAATCATTTTCTAAAGACAATATAGAAATTTTATAACTACATTAATGAGATAATCAATTTAATTAAATGATTGTTTCATATAATGTTGCAATCATTTATTTCAACTTTTTTTTCAAAAAAAAAATATATTATTTTATTAATATGAAATAATTAAATTGAATTAATTCTTTACCTAAAATATAAAAATCTTTTTTTTATCAATTGAAATTTAAATCGTATTATAACTAAATCACTTGATTTTTTCATTTATCAACAAATCTCAGACTTATTCCACATTTTTTTTGTATTTATTTATGAATATCTAATTTGAGTTTTTTTAATACAAATTAATTGTTTATATAACATTAATATGATAATGGATTTTTATTCGTTGATAAATGAGTTTGGCAACTGTTATATTCTTAAATGAATATGCCAAAGCTATCCAACATAGATTTATATAGTTATTTATAAATGATTATACTACAATTATATGATAATGCTATATTTATAAATGGTTAAAATCACATAAAAAAACTTGTATTAATACATGACTATAATTGATTTTTTTATCTAATATTTTTGGATTATAACATATCCATACATTTGAAATCACAAATGAATAAAACATATTTTTCGCTCCTTCAGAGATGATGTTGCCCTTGTTTATTTTTTTTTGTCAAATTACCAACCTGAACCTGTAACAATAAAAACCGAGCATTATTTCAAATTGGTTAAGAGATAATTAATGATTATAACTAAATTATGTGAATATTCAAAAAATAATTTTGGGCATTATTCTAAATTGTAATCATTTATGATTTAACATTGCATCACTATCATTTTAATATTTTATGAATATATCAGTTGGACATTATTTTAAATTTTCATTTGTGATGTAATCATTTATGATTTTAACGTGCTGCACTTCACATACCGCCATTACTTATTTCTCAGTTATGGCTCAATTTGACCAAGAATTATATATATTGAAATTAAAACAACCTAAATAAGAATTACTGCAGAAAATTCATTGTAATTTACTATGGAATCTAAGTAAACAGTCTAATAACCAAGGAAAAATAACTACACATAGTGAAAAACTCTTTATGACATGCAATACTGTTTTCAATTTACTTGTGGTTTACTTCAAGAATGTATCTGACCCAAATATATGTTTTATCCCTCCCTAGATTTTGTTACACAGTATGATCACAAAACACATATTTGAAAATGTACTTATATACTTAATAAGATATGAAAAGTTATACACTGTAATATAATAAGTTTCTATTTTGAAAACTCAGAGAGAATCCATTTAAGCATCTAATCAAACGGTTTGTAAGAATATAAAATATGCAAAATTTGTATGAATAAAACGTGATTTGCAGACTTGGAAATTGATGGGTACAAAAGTTATTGAAATCACTAGAAATCAAACAGATGCTCACTAAGTTTCAAGTGGCAAATCAGCATACACAAGGAAGTGATTAAAAACGATTACAGGAAATAAAGAGATGCTAACCTGGATATGATTGCAGACGATTTTGATAAGGGAAGATACAATAAAATCAACATACTCAGACATTTTCTATCAAGCAATTATCCCACAATTACACAACCACACTAGAAAATGGAGAATATATAGAATATGGTGATGAAGCTAATGAATTATAATAAAAAAATATACCATAATTCGAGTCCTAAGTGCGGATGACAGTGAGAATCGATGGTAAGAATGAACTGATCTGAATAAGTGCCCCATTTTCAGTAATGAATGATTGTGTTTCCGATTTCGTTTCTTGAATACATTTCCACTTTTATTGATTTTGTCACTCACTTCCCACCTCCGAAGATTAGACAAAAAAATAGCAATTCTATTTTGAGCATACCTTCAATCGACTAAACCATAATGATAAATTAAAATAAAAAAAACAATTAGAATTTAAATAAGAAGTATTTACCTGAGATAGATATGCGCAAGAGAGAAAGTTTCTTGAGACCGGAGAGTTATAGAGTATCCAATGATACTGTGGTAGTTAATCAACTGAGAAGTATGAGAGAAACATAGGTATAATCTGTAAATCATAATAGGTAGTCATGAATGCAGTTTTGAGAAATACAAGGGCTACAATTTCAGGCATACATGTCGTCTTCTTCATTCATTCAGGTCACGCCCACCCACAACCACAAACCTTTATATCAATCGGTGGATAATCAATTAAGGGATTTAGGGGAAATTAGGGCTTGCTTCAAAATCTTTCAGATAGGCGAAATGTATATGAATTTCTCCTAATTTTTCCATATTTGGAGGCAAAGAAGACATAAAAGGGGAGATTGGGTTGTGATTGTGTTGATGGGGGGAAATAAGCAATGATGATGGTGTTGGTCTGATTGTGTTGATGGAACGGTGGAGGCGCAAGAAACTAGAGAGGAGAGAATGAGAGAACAGAGAACAGAGAAGCAAAATGAATGAAGATGACCAGGGATTATGGTATTTGTATCAATTAAATCTATATAGCTGATATGAAAGAAACAGATGTATTTGTTTTTTTAATTCCCAATTTCCCTTACCGACATATAAAATTTTCATATTATGCTTAAAGATTATGTAATTTACATTAATGACTCATTTATTAATATCCCTAGATCTAGATATTTGGATGGTCGTGATCTGTTCTCGCGTTCTCAACCTTGTACGTGTTCTCAAAATAACTTACCTCTATATATATATATATATATATATATATATATATATATATATATATATATATATATATTGGTCTCTTTATAAATAAACAAAAATATATTTCGTTTTTTTCTTCAAAAAAAATTAAAGTTTTATAGAATCTAAATAAAGAAAACAACAAACCAATGGTAAGAATTATAGGAGTGTGCGCGGTGCGGTTTGGTGCGGTTTAAAGCCAAAACCGCAAACCGCACCGCATATGCGGTTTGAGTTGTTTAGAAACCGCAAACCGCACCACGAACCGCAATTTTGTTATCGTAAACCGCAAACCGCAATTTTGTTATCGTAAACCGCAAACCGTACCGCATAATGCGGTTTAACAAAAATACAAACCGCAAACCGCACCACAAGTGTTTTAAACCGCGTTATGCGGTGCGGACGGTTTATGCGGTTTATTGCACACCCCTAGTAAGAAATACGTGTGGCGAGAACTTTTGCAAACCAAGATTGTGTATGTGAGTTGGATCTTAAGAGATTGCATGGATATAATTTCTTTCTCTTTTATTGATTTTTTCTTTTATTTTATTTTTCTTTTTATTTTTTTATATGTTGAAGACTGAAGTCATCAATGATTACAAAATGAATGTAGTCTTAGATCCAAAATTTGACATATCTATTAGGCGGAATTTGACATTTTTTATGCTTGACGTTGATAAATGATTATATGATATGACTAAAATAAATACTGTAAGCATTTTACGGGTAATCCGTGCAATCGTTCGTGATTACACAATACATTTTTATTACTAAATTCGTGAGAATTGCTCTTACGAAAAACTTCAATACAAATTTGTGAGAATCGTTTTGAACAAAATACAATAGGAACAATGGTTCTTCGATTTGAAAAAAATATAATATAATATACAAATATTTTAATCTAGAACATGACATTTATTTGTTATGACAGTATTGCGTCTTTCAAAAACTCTTATTATCCGTTCATCTATGGTCTAATCATGGTTTTTTCACATCTTCTACTTAACGTTTAAAGAGAATATGATAATTAGCTATTGAATTAAAGGGAGCGTTTCTGGTCGTAGCATTTAAAAGTGTGGTTGGTATTTGCGAGATACGTGTAAATTAAGGAAAACACGTGGGTACTATGTTAGGACATCCACAATGCATTGAACTCCATATAGTTTAATGAATTGTCAAATCATTTTTTTACAATTCATACAACTCTATCATTTTTTTTCCACAATGCATTGAACTCTACAAAGTTCAATAGAATGTTATAAAATGTAATTTATAGTAAATAATTAACAATTAAAAACTTTTCTTTTTCCCATTGAAGAGTTCAATGACCATTGAATTTCAAATCCATTGAATGTTAATGTGACATCTCACAATGGTAAAGTTTCATACATTGAATGACACATAGACTTGCCACCTCATTCAACTCTCTCATTGAACTCACCATTATGGATGTTTTTAGATAGACTTTCTTTTTTGTAGTTATTGATTCAATCTAATATTTTAATTTGAATTCTTTTAGTTAATTAGTTACATCCAACTAACAAAAGGTATAGGTGTTGTGAAAAGGTGTTCTTCATATGTGGCTTAGGGTTCAAATCTAGAAGTAGGATTAATGGGTGATATTTGTTAGCCATTATATAATTTTATCGTTACATACTCGCAAGCAGTATACCTGATTTTAATATATTATTGAAATCTTTGATGGGGGCATATGACAAAGGTAGTTTGGGCAGCATGATCGTTGCCATTTTGGTAAAAGGATGTGATTGAAAATTATATAAAAGTGAATTTAAAAAAAAAAAAATTGTTTTCTTAGGACTTTTTTACATATCTTTAACTTTTTGAGAGAGGCTGGTGCCATGCTGCCTCTAGTGTGGGTGGGATTGTCCTCACTCCTCACGTCTATACATATAAGTATAGAAATACAAAGGTCATTTGCCATGTTATAGCTTTATTTTGTATTTTAGTTTCGTTATCGTTTTGTATATTTGTCCCAATAATCAAAACTTGTTAATCCATAAATAAGGTGTAAAATATCATATCTATATAATGTTCCACTGTTGGTACCAAAGGGTCATAGAGGACTATGAAAACTTAAGCGAACATTACATGTATCAAATCCACTGATTTCTTGAGATAAACCAAGGATTTAAAAAAAATCCTAAACGTTGACAGAATGTTTTATACACAAAGTGAAACCTTCCGTCGATGTAAACCATGAGGTCAACAGGGCTTTCGTCTTCAATTTGTTGTTAAATACTTTTTTTTTTCCCTTTGAGCTTCTCGCCTTTGTCTCTATACCTTATCTTCTCCTCGTGTCCTACTCTCCCTCAACACACAGCTTAACAAGTTTATACTATATGCATATCGACTTGTACTTTTGAAACAGTCGTCTCCGTTATCCACCACCTTATATTAATTAAACCAAACCGTGTTTAGTAGCAAACTATCAACTATATATATTTCCTCCAAAGCAAACTCTAACACAATTACACACAAACCCAATAACTTTATGCTAAAAATAGATTACATAAACGATCATATATGGCCAATATCTCTCTACGTTTTGGTTACAACCCATGTGTCACGGGATGCAGATCAGTATCTGCATCTGCATCCTATGACACATGCTTGAGCTCAGGCTCAACTACCAACTTTTACAAACTTCTTTCTTTAAGCTCAAGCAAAGCAGGAAGCCAAGAGATCAAAAGAGCTTATAGAACACTAGTTCTCAAGTATCATCCTGATGTTTCTCATGATCATGACACTGTCAAAACGTTCATTATGTTGCATGCAGCGTACAAGACACTCATGGATCCAGTATCACGAGCAGAGTATGATTGTACACTCGGCTGTCATGGTTGTACATTCAAAGATCATGGAGGAGAGGGGAGGAGGTGGGAGGCTCAGATTGTTGAGCTCAAGAAGAGGTCGAGTCATCGTGCTGACCGTATGGAGGGATCTTGGGGAAGTAGGGTTAGGTATGGTTATAGACAAAATAAGGGATCTTGAAAAGATTAAATGACGTCGTTTAAATAAAGACTTTGAATCTATAGCCTAACACACAAGTAACATTTATATTGTCGAGCATTTGTTTCTTGTTTTTGTATTTCCAGCTTCGATATGACTGTTAATTTGATTTATGAATGTAATGCCTATTATATCTTTACATAGCAACCATGCATATATATTAATCGAAATGAAAGACATAATAAATCATTTAGTGACACATATTACATAACAGAAGTATTACCACGAAACAAACTTCTAACCAATGAAAAATTCGTCGTTAAACGTGTTAGCAAAGGATTATAGAGACCGAGAAAACACTTATCGTATGGTGGCTAAATATTTGATCCATTTAGCATATGTCCCTCTAGAGATCCATTTAGCATCACTTTATACGGTATGTGTTAGGCATATAGATTTTCTGAGAGCTTTTAGTTTTTAGATTTTACCTTTTTAAAAGTTCAAAAAAAAAACACTAGAAAAAAATGTGAGCTTTTAATTTGTCAAACATGCTCTCAACAAACTCTAAAACAAGGTTTTGAATAACGTGAGGCGTGAGCTTAGCGGCAAGGTCAAAGTTAAGTCATGGCAAGCCTTGGCGAGTCATGACGTTTTTCAAGGCGTGACTATTTTATATAAATTAAAAAAGATAAATCATATAATTATTGAATTTTATCAAAAATATCAAGTTTTTAGAAGTGTTATATTAATATTTAGTATCAAAAAGTTAACAAAAACTCGTGCCTTGAAAAAAACTCGCGACATAACGCGATAAGACGCACATTGACATGTTATTTGGACGCCACGCTTAACAAACCCGTCTTAAACGTTTTCGTAACGGCTAGGTCACGCCTCGAAGCGCGCCATGACGCGCTTTTCAGAACAATGCTCTAAAGTGATAAGGAGCCACGTAAAACCAGCCGAATATCTGATCCAGATTGAAGTCTTGAATCTGAGCTACAGAAATCATACAATGCCCCAAGCCCATTTATATTTTATATAACTTTGACATTTGAATAATAATCCAATAGCCGACTTAGTTTACCTGTATAACTGTTTTTGGTATAGCCTAATTGATTTTGAATTACTTTTAGCTAGAGATGCATATTAATAGTTTTGGATCGGTATTGGGTAGGTTTTAAACCGGTTTTGTTAGGACCGTTTCAAAATGGTCCGATCTTGTGATCTTTGCTTATATTTTTTGGGTTTTTTTTTTCAATTTGTTTTTTATATTTTTGACAAAAGACAAAATTGCAAAAATGATCCCTATGGTATGCATTTGACAAAAATTGCAAAAATTGTCTTGTGGTTGGCAAAATTATATGGATTTGGTCCAAAAAGTTTTGATGGTGCATCAATGGTCCAAAATTGGATCTTGTATTGTTTTTGGTCCCTATACACTTAAAATGACCTTAATGCCCCTTATATTTGT